AATTTTATTCCTATGATGTTTATAATAATTATACCTGAAATACTACTTTAAATTAAAAAACGCACCTTAGTGGGATTCGAATTCGGGACCTCTGGATTATGAATCTTCTACGTTACCCGCTACACCATTTCAATTGGTAAACATGTTATTCATTCTTTACTTCCATTACAACCAACTAAACTAATAACGAAATTATATAGATATAATAAAAATATCATCATTTAATAGATATAATAAAGTATAAACAATTTACATTATTATAGTCCAGTTGCACCAATGTTATTTTGACTTTAAGCGAGATTTAAAACTCTTTGTCTTGTTTTAAAGCCGAAAAAGAGACAGAGATAAAGAGAGTTTTAAGCTTTACTTAAAATTAAAGTAACGTCGGACCTATGAGACAACATTGGGTAAGTGTTGAATAATCTAATCTCGCTTGGCCGATGTCGCGCGCCGTGATTAGGCTAATATTCGGGCTGTGTTCGACTTGCTTTGTCACAATGAGTGTTCACATCGATCATTTATTTTACTTCTAATCAAAGAGAAACAAAAGAACATAGCTGAATTATTTTTACATTACAACTTTTTGTAATGTAAAAATAATTCAGCTATGTTCTTTTGTTTCTCTTTGCTCATAGCTCAATTATTTTTACATTACAACTTCTACTTATAATTTTGAATAATTTAAGTAGCATTTATGGTTCATTTTTAAATAAAAACTTTTTTTATTTAATTAAATTAAAAAACTGCATTTCATATTCAAAATATTGAATTGAACAGTATTTACGTTGCACAGAAATTGTTGATATTATTTTTAAATTTAACTAAATTAAAAAAATTGTACTTTTTATTCACAATTCTGAATTAAGTAATATTCATGATGCATAGAAAATGCTAATATTACTTTTAGATTGAAAGGCATAGAGATATGCTCTATGCAATTCCTATAAATGAAAAATGCATTCAGGATTAAAAAGGCATAGATATTTGCTTTATGTAATTCTTATAAATGAATAAAAATACATTCAGGATTAAAAAGGATTCATTTTAACATTCATGAATCTGCATTTTTTAAAATTTGAATCCATTTTAATCTATTTCAATCTATTCTCGTTTGCTGGGTTGTCGGTTTGCTGGTAGATTTGGATTTTATATATTAGGTTGTTCGGAAAGTAATTTCGTTTTTTCCTAACAGAGAACTTATTGTATTTTTTCACAGCCAACTTCACACTTAAGCCGCATAATCATTATATAATATTTTGACAGCTGATATAGCAAGGCTTGCTTGTAAAAAAAGTTCGATTGATTCTACGCAGTAGTTTTTGGTTGGTGCCCTATCAAATATGGAAAATGAAAAGAAGCATTTTCGGCATATTTTACTTTTTTACTATCAAAAAGGTAAAAATGCTGTTCAGCAAGAAAAAAATTATCCGATGTGTATGGAGATGTATTGACAGAACGCCAGTGCCAAAACTGATTTGCAAAATTTCGATCCAGCAATTTTGATGTTGAAGATGCACCACGTTCTAGAAAGCCAGTTGAAGCTAATGAAGACACAATAAAGGCATTAATTGATACAAACCGGCGAATAACAACTTGTGAGATCGCTGAGAGATTAAATTTATCGAATTCGACCGTTCATGATCATTTGAAACGCCTAGGTAATACAAATATATATATATATATATATTTGTTGTGCATCCAGATGTTTAATAAATCCAGTGAAGAATACACATTGGTCAGATTTCCCAAGGAAGACCAATATCGTAATGGATGGATAGATGCTGCTTTGAGCGAGAATGTATCAGAAAAATCTTTGGATAATTTAAGACTGTGAGAAGTGAGTGTTTATCGTAATAATGCTATATATATATATACAGAATCCAAATAAAAATAGTTTAAAAAAGGCTTCTCCATTTAATGCTCTCCTCATTTTAGGTACACTTTGAGTTATCGGATATATTGGTGGTAGGTCGCAGGAATGAAGTAAAAAAAGGTGCGATACATCATGTTTTTGCCATTACCCCACCGAGAATTTTTGCAAATCGCTAATAAAACGGAAAAAATAGAAAGTTCATGTGTACAATGTTGAAATAAGAAAAAAAAAAATCTAATAGTCATATTTGTCAGTTGACACATGTGAGCATTGTTGTTATTTATTTCATATAAGTTTTTGTATAAGCCAAACAATTATTTCAATTTAAAATTGTTTAAATTAATCTTTTTAGGTGCACTTATTTAATAGTGACAAGTTCAATGTGTAAAATATCAATGAAAAATAATAAACAAAATAAAATTTTTATCACAATTTATTTATATTTGTTACATATTCTATATCACACAGAAAATTATTTCATATTATCACACACAAAATCACAGTGTTATATTGCAGATTGTGTGTGCGCGCGGGCGTGTGTATTACACTACAAAAAAATAGAAACAAAATATTTATTTAAAATATGTATTTGCTCTAGAGAAAATAAAAATTCAATGTAGATATATCTGTTAGCTCAAAAGGTATTTGAAATGAGGAAAGCATTTTCCATAAATGGAAAAGCACTTTTTAAACTATTTTTATTTGGATTCTGCATAGCATTATTGCGATGAACATTCACTTCGCACAATCTTAAATTATCCAAGAATTCGAATACACATGATCGGATAAAATCTCCGATTGTAAAAATTACTATTTTTAAATTATTTGTATTTCGTATAAAGAGTTTTAAAGTACAATTAAAAAGATTTGTAAGTCATTTTATTAATTATAATTAATGAATCTTTTTTGTGAATCATGTATTTAATAGAAAAATAATCAGCCGGGTCTAAATTCAATAGTTCATATAGATTCATTTGTATTTCGTATGAAGTACCAAAAACATTTATATGTCTCTGAGACATTTTTAAATTAAATATTTAAATGTCATGTATTTGACCGAAATATAGATTCAGATCACGGAAATTCTGTTAGAGGCGATCTCTCTATTTCGGTACTTCTGGTTCTTTTCCGATCATTCACAACAAAATTGCTTCGTTCAACAAGTACTTGTTGAGGTTAGAAAATCTGTTATGTAGACAGTGGGATGTATAGACTAGTGCTTATTATAATTCGGGGCGGCTACGGAGCCGCTAAAAGAGAATAATATATTCTACCGACTTGGGGCCCAACTGCCTAGAAGTTGCAGCGTAGACAATAAAAAGACCGCTCTAAAAATACTGTTCTCAAAACCCACTGTCTTCATGACTTAGAATTCCAACCGGACACTGTCTATGCTGCACTAACTTCTAAGCGGTTAGGCCCCAAGCGGGTAGGATGTTATTTTTCTTTTGTTCTCTTTGAGACGGTGTAGCAAATCCCACTTTGTGCATAAAATTTGTATTACACCGTAGCCACGAAAACACGGTACACCGAATGAGTTCACTTACAACCAGCCATGGAAACATGGTCTGATGCCTCCGGCATCAGCGCGATGTTTGTCGCGCGCGACATACGATATCCAATGAGTGTACAGCTTTACGGATGTTTTCGTTCTAAAGGTATATTCTCATTGGATATCACGTGATGCGTGCGAAGAACATCGCGTTGGTGTGCCGGAGCCATGAGTATTGCACTAGTGGGCGATAGTGCAGCCAAGAGAAAACGCTATATATTTCGATCAAATACATGATATTTAATTAAATATTTAATTAATTAAAAGTATCTGAAAAACTCACAAACATTTTTAATGGTACTTTATAACTCATCACGAAATACAAATGATTCCATGTATAAACATTGTTGAATTCAGATCCGGCTGATTATTTCGATCAAGTACACTGTTCAAAAAAGATTCATTAATTATAATTAATAGAGTAACTCACAAACTTTTTTAATTATATTTCAAAACTCTTTATACAAAATACAAGCGATTTAAAATAGTATTTTTACAACCGGAGGTTTTGTCCAGTCATGTACATTCAAATTATCCAAGAATCTTGATGCGTTCTCATCCAAAGCAGCATCTGCATTTCGATATTAGTCTTTTTTGGGAAATCTGATCAATGTGTATATCCTTCACTGGATTTATTAAAACTTCTGGATGCACAATAAATATGTGGCATCGCCAAAATATATAAAATCCAAGTCTACGACAAGAAAATTACATTATTAATGAAACAAGTATCTCTAATTTCCGTATTATTTATTTTTAATAATGAAGCGTTCATTAATTCAAAACTTATTCGTGATAATATATACATTGCTTTTTCTCACAATTTTACATAGATATGGTAAATTAACTTATCAAAAATAGTCAAAACAATAGGCAACAAAAGCTGCTCTAAAATGTAACACGCGCACACGTATTCTATCAGAATAGGTTGAAATTATAGTACATCTTCATAGAGCACAAATGTGCGATCCATACCTCAGCCAATCAGAAAACTCAAGTCACGTGACGAGTTGGCGAGGTTTCCCTTTTTGGCTGCGTTCGTATTCCCATCTGAGTGCTACTCGGATGTCATCCTTGTTGTACATCGAACATTAAACAAGGATGACATGACATCCGAGGAGCACCCGGATGGGAATCCGAACGCAGCCTTTAGGATTTCTAGTATAAGTGGATTAGCGAATCGCCAATCACAAAATCGTTCTTTTGGAGATCTCTGCAAATTTTGGCTGCGGTCGATTTGGACGCTCACGCGTTTTAAATGCTTGTAATCATCATTTTATCTTTATTGTTTATTAAAATAAGATGTAAAATAAGAATAAAAATACTGAAAAGCGTTAAAAGCGTTCAAATTGACTATAGCCCTATGCAAGCAGATCTAAAAGAACAATTCTGTGATTGGCGATCCGTTTATCCGCTTATGCGTGATCCGCTGCATAGGACATAAGACATAAGAAATAAAATTGTCGCGAACGTAAAACGGAATGTCAGTAATTGATCGGATCCTTCGATACGCGCGTACGACGATATGCGTTATGGAACGATCCTCAATGAATAGGGAAACACATTTCAGCGGAACGGAATCGGCGGAATGAAGCCACAACCAATCACGAATGTTCCGCAGTTCCGCATATCTGCAGTTCCACATCCCTTGGGAGTGCACCCTGAAAAAAAAAACAGTTTTGCCGGTCTTGCGCGCCGCTCCGAATTTTCTTTAACGAAAATGAAGAAGATTGAATAGAGGGAATGATTAGAGTGATGAAAGCAGGTAATTATTTAGCGCATTTTATTAAATTTTCAATCTTTTGGTAGATATCAATAAATGAGAAAAAGATAGATTATTTGCTTTCTCGGCACTCTATAGTTTTACATGACAAGATGTAATGATTGACAAGCATGATGGAGAAGGTTAGGTTTTTGTAACGTATTGTAATAGGTAAATATCGAAATTTGCTTAGAAAGCCAAGTCTTTTCCATGACTTATGGCTGATTACGTTATATATATTTTGTTGTTATTAAAATGAACACATTTTATCCAGAATAACAGATTTTGTATTTATACAAGAAGGAATGGAGCAATCATATATTCAACCATAGATTTAATTATGCAAATCATTTATTTTTATGGATTTCATTCTATATGATTTTATATTACTTTTAAATAAAATTTATTTTTGATAGATTATCATTATGATGAATAATTTGGAGAGACCTGTTATGGAGACAGAGTCATTTGACAAAGCAAAGGTAAAGAGACGTTCGGTTTCTTCTTCCAATGATTCTGAGAAGAACAGAAAGAGACGAAATGTTTGCAGTAAGGATAAGAGAAAGAAGTCAAAACGTAGAAGTAGTTCCAATAGTTCTAGTTCTTCTGATATTTCAAACTCAGGAAGAAATACATATAAAGCAAAGAAGAATAGAGATGAAGATATAAAAAATAAAACTAAAAAGTATGAAACCAGAGAATTGCAAAGAAAAAGTGGAAAATATAGTAATGATTATAGATTTTACAATCGGAGGCACACTAACTTTTTGAATAATCAAAGAGATTGCGGCTATTCACGACCTTATAGACATAATTATTATAATAGAAATAGAAGAGATGCATATAACAATTATCGTTATAGTAGATATAGTAGATCTTTTGAAAGAACGTTTAATCATAACAGATCCAGAATACCAAATTATAGAAATACTGGCTACAATACAATTAGTCAGCTGTCACGAGAGGGTAGTTCAAAAGAGCAAATGAATCGACCAAGATCTATTTCTAAGATAGAAAAATCTGATTCAATAAAAAATGACACAGAAATAGTTGAACATGTAAAACAAAAAGAGAAGAAAAAAGTGGAAAATATACAAAATATAACTCAGCTAAGTCACAAGAAATTAAAGAGAAAAAGATTTTCGTCTACTTCTAGTTCTTCTAGTATCAGTAGCAGTAGTAGCGACAGTAGCTGTAGCAGTTCCAGCAGCAACAGTAGCAGCAGCAGCAGCAGTAGTAGTAGCGATACTAACAGCAGTAATAGTGGCAGCAGTATTGATAGCTCAGAGGATGAAAAGAAGCAGAAAAAAGCTAGAAAGAAAGCTAAGAAATTTAAGAAAGCTTTAAAAAAACGGAAGAAAAAAAAACGGATGAAAAAGAAGTTGAAAAAGAAATTTAAAAAATCTGCATCCAAAAAAAAAGGACACAGTAAGAAGAAGTCTAAAGGAAATAAAGAAGTTCAAGATAGGAAGGAAAAAATGAAGGAAATTGTATCGAATGTAATAGAAAGAGGGAAAGCCATGGCACCCATGACAAAAGAGGAGTGGGAAAAAAGGCAGAGCATTGTGCGCAGAGTATATGATGAAGAAACTGGAAGACATAGGTAAATATGAGACAAAACAATTGAATACAGATAATATTTTATATATATATATAATAATTGTGAACTTGACTTGTTTCTATATTCATTTGCATATGTCTTATATTATATTGAATTTGATTGGATGCACTCGATGCGCGCTGATGTAATTAAAGCCATTGTACACAAATTGATGTAAAGCTGTGTGTTTACTTAATTAAAAACAATTATACCGTAAAATCAATATATTTTATAATTGAAAATATTTGCATTTTACTTTCATACTTAGATTATTATATTTTCACTTTTATATTTAGGTTATATAAGTATACAATAGCTTTAAGGTACTCTAGTGTGCCCAATCGAATTTACTATTAAAATTAATTTCTGTGTTTTTGCAAAGATTAATCAAAGGCGATGGAGAAATCTTAGAAGAGATAGTAAGTCGAGAACGTCACAAGGAAATTAATAAACAAGCGACTAAAGGAGACGGCAAATACTTCCAAACACACTTGAAGCTGAACATTCTGTGAAATATATTTTTGTGCAAAGAAAAAGCATAATTATCCTCTTTATAT